TATTGATTGTTATAATCCATGGGTGTTAGACTTATGAGTGATTTTTTATTTTCTTTTTTGTACTTTTCTGTATTTCCCAAATTTCCTTTTTTTCTTTTTATGTTTTTGAACATTAATAATAATTATATATTTTTTATTTAATTGAAATGTATTTCTTTTTTTTTTTTTCCTTTTTGTCTTTTTTCGTGACTGGCAACGGATCGCAACCCTCAGTGTTGCGCCCACACCTCGCTCAGCCAGTGAGCCGCCGGTCTGTATGTGGGATCTGAACCCTCGGCGGGAGAGCCACTGTGCTCCCAAGCGGCGCACTGTAGCAGTGCGCCACCGGGCCAGCCCGAAATGTATTGATTGTACATATTTATGGGGTATGGAGTTATATTTCAATACATGTTTAAAATGTGTAGTGATTTAATCAGGGTATTTAGCAAATTCATCATTGTAAAAATTTATTGTTTCTTTGCAATGAGAACATTTAAGCTCTTCTCCTTTAGCCATTTGGTAGCATACAATAAATTATTGTTCCTTATAGATGCCTAGCACTATTGTACACCAATGGAATTTATTTTTCCTATCTAGCTGTAATTTTGTGTCCATTAACCAACTTTTCCCTATCCCCTCTCCCCCCACCCTTTCCCTGCCTCTAGTAACCATAGTTCTACTTTCTACTTCTAAAAATTTAACTTTATTTATTTATTTAAAGCTCCCATATATGAGTGAGGACATGAGGTATTTCTCTTTTTGTGCCTGGCCTATTTCACGTAACATAATTTTCTCCAAGCTCATATATGCTGCTGTGAATGGCAGAATTTCATTCTTTTTTATGACTGAATAGTATTTCATTGTGTATATACCACATTTTCTTTATCTAATCATGTGTTAATGGATATTTAGATTGGTTACATAGCTTAGCTATTGTGAGTAGAGCTTCAATAAACATGGGAGTGCAGGTGTCCCTTCAACATGTTGATTTCCTTTCCTTTTTTATTTTAAATTTATTTTTTACTGAAGCATAATTGATTATACATATTTTAGGGATTTCTTTTCTTTTGGGTATATACTCAGTAGTGGGACTGCTGGATCATATAGTAGTTCTATCTATAGTTATTTGAGAAAACTCCATACTATTTTCCATAATGGCTATTCTAATTTACAGTCCCACTAACCTTGTATAAGAGTTCCCCTTTCTTCACATCCTCACCAGCATTTGTTATTTTCTGTCTTTGGGACAGTAGCCATTCTAACTGGGGTGAGATGGTATCTCAATGTGGTTTTGATTTTTATTTCTCTGATTAGTGATGTTGAGCATTTTTTCATATACTCATTGGCCATTTATATGTCTTATTTTGAGAAATGTCTATCTCCTTTGCCCATTTTTAATTGGATTACTTATTTTTTTCTTATTCAGTTGTTTGAGTTTCTTGTATATTCTGGATATTAATCCCTTGTCAGATGCATAGTTTACACATATTTTCTCCCATTCTGCAGGTTATCTCCTCACTCTGTTGATTGTTTCCTTTGCTGTGCAGAAGATTTTTAGTTTGATATAATTCCATTTGTTTATTTTTGCTTTTGTTGCAGCGCTTTTGGGGTCTCATTCATAACGTCTTTGCTTAGTCCTACATCCTGAACTGTTTCACCGGTCACCTATGTTTTTTTCTAGAAGTTTTATAGTTTCAGGTCTTACATTTAAGTCATTAGTCCATTTTGAGTTGATTTTTGTAAATGGTGAGAGGGGTCTAGCTTCATTCTTCTACAGATGGATGTCCAGTTTCCCAGCACCATTTATTGAAGAGATTGTCCTTTCCCCATTGTATGTTCTTGGTGCCTTTGTCAAAGATCAGTTGGCTGTAAATATATGGATTAACTTCTGGGTTTTCTATTCTGTTCCATTGGTCCATGTGTCTGTTTTTATGCCAGTACCATGCTGTTTTGGTTACTATACTTTTGTAGTATAGTTTGAAGTCAGGTATTGTAATGCTTCTAGCTTTATTCTTTTTGCTCAGGATGGCTTTGGCTACTTGGGGTCTTTTGTGGTTCCATATGAATGTTAGGATTGTTTTTTCTATTTTTGTGAACAATGTCATTGGTATTTTGATAGGGACTGCATTGAATCTATAGATCGCTTTGGGTAGTATGGTCATTTTGACAATATTAACTTTTCCAATCCATGAACATGAAATGTCTGTCCATTTTTTGGTGTCCTCTTTAACTTCTTTCATCAGTGTTTTGTAGATTTCACTGTAGAGATCTTTTACTTCCTTGGTTAAATTTATTCCTAGATACTTTATTTTTTGGTAGCTATTGTAAATGGGCTTACTTTCTTTTTCTTTTTTTTTTTTTTTTCCTTTTTGTCTTTTTTCGTGACCGGCAACGGATCGCAACCCTCAGTGTCGCTCCCGTACCGGATCGGGACCGGCAATGGGATCGCAACCCTCGGTGTTGCACCCGCACCTTGCTCAGCCAGCGAGCGGCCGGTCTGTATGTGGGATCCGAACCCTCGGCGGGAGCGCTACCGCGCTCCCAAGCGGCGCACTGTAGCAGTGCACCACCGGGCCGGCCCAATGGGCTTACTTTCTTGATTTCTTTTTCTGCTAGCTTGTTGCTGGTGTATAGAAACTCTACTGATTTTTGTATATTGATTTTATATTGTATAACTTTACTGAATTTGTTTATCAGCTCTAAGCATTTTTTGGTGGAGTATTTAGGTTTTTCTATATATAAAATCATGTCATCTGCACATCTGACTTTCACTTTTCCAATTTGGATGTCCTTTATGTCTTTCTCTTGCCTAATTGCTCTGGCTAGGTCCTTTACTATGTTAAATTGGAGTGGTGAGCATGGGCATCCTTGTCTTTTTCCTGTTCTTAGAGGAAAAGCTTTCAACTTTTCCCTGTTTAGGATGATGTTAGCTATGGGTTTGTCATATATGGCCTTTAATGTGTTGAGATACTTTCCTTCTATACATAGTTTGGTTAAGAGTTTTTATCATGATGGGATGTTGAATTTTGTCAAATGCTTTTGCTGTGTCTATTGATATAATCATGTTTTTTGTCCTTGATTTTGTTGATGTGGTATATCACATTTATTGACTTGCGTATGATTAACAATTCTTGCATTCCTGGGATGGATCCCACCTGATCATGATGTATGACTTTTTGGATGTGTTGCTGTATTCTGATTGCTAATATTTTGTTGAGGGTTTTTCCATCTATGTACATCAGAGATACTGGCCTGTAGTTTTCTTTCTTTTGTTGTATCTTTGTCTGGTTTTGGTATCAGGGTGATGCTGGTCTCATAGAATGAATTTAGGAGAATACCATCTGCTTCGACATTTTGGAATAATTTAAGAAGAATTGGTATTAATTCTTCTTTAAAAGTATGGTAGAATTCAGCAGTGAAGCCATCCAATACTGGGCTTTTCTTTGTTGGGAGACTGCTGATTACTAATTCAGTGTCATTGCTGGTTATTGGTCTGTTCAGGTTTTTTCTTCTTGGTTCAGTTCTGGTAGGTTGTATGTATCCAGAAATTTATCCATGTCCTCCAGATTTTTGAATTTGTTGAATTGTTGGTATAGTTGTTCACGATGGTCTCTAATGATTCTTTTTCGTAGTTTTCCATATTTCCCAAATTTTCTACAACCTATGTGCAGTTACTTTTTTTTTTTTATCATGGACAAACATACATAACATAAAATTGACCATTTTAACCATTTTTAAGAATGTGTACATTACTTTTAAAATAAGAAATAATGTTTTTATAAATGTTTTAATCATGCACTAAGTAGGCTCTAAATTTGCACCTACACTACAGTTATGACAATGTGTCAATTATTTATCTGTTTAGACAAGGACAGCAAAGGAACACAACCCAGACAGATGAAAAATTTCATAGATTAGAGTGGTAGAATGGAGTGTTATTAAGACATGTATTTGTCTGAAGGCAGCTTTGATAAGTACATTCAGGCTTTTCAGTGCTGAGGTCAGTGATGGCCCAGACCAGCCAAGAATACTATGAAGGGGAAGTTGAATGGGAAGTGGGGAGCAGGTATTGAAAAAGTAGAGGGACAAGTTAGAGGCTTGTGGAAAAACAAATTCAGCTGGAACTGGTCATTTAAAATGGATTCAACTGTCCCCAACTGTTTCAATACAGTTCTTCAGGAATATATCAATTGTCTAAATCAGGATTTGCCCAGAAGAGGCCAGGGAGCCAGCAAACCTAAGAAAGTGGGATTTTCAGGGAGTGAACAGGATTAAGGGAAGGTGAAACACTTCAACCTTGCTTGGATTCTGAGCCTGCCCCTACTATACAGATGTGGCTGTAACCCCCCAACTTTATTTGAACCAGTCTGATTTTTCTTTTATCAAAATTGGCTCATTCTGGGCTAAGCCCACTACTCACTTTGGAACTTCTACTAGTCTCTTGCCTCTGTGGTCTGTAGGGAAAATGTGAGTTTTCCCAGGTAACAATTAGGAAGATACACTGCCAATCCCACCAATCCATCACCCTATTTTAAATGCAGTTACTTCTTCAGTGAGGAAGTCAGGGACGATCGGACTCTGGTTAGGAACAGTTCCTGGCTTATTCTAGTCTTCTTTAGTCTGTTTCCTTGAGGTAAAGAGCAGCGAGCAAGGAAAGCAAGAGTGCCGTGGGGGCAGCAAGGAGAGGAGGAGTCAGCGGGCTGCATTCTGCATTCTACTACCTCTGGTCTTGGAGGAAGGGGAACCACAAGTGATGTGACCAGGAAGACAGAGAAAAAAGAGGGCCTCATCTGGAGGCTTTATAGAAGACCAAAACCAGAGTATGGGGACGAGGAGAAGCCTTGGTCCCCAGCTGATAGCCCTGAGGTTGGCAGCAGAAATGCCCCAGAGTGGGGGTTTGCATAGTATTTGTAGGAGCAGTCATGAGCTCCCTGACATCACTTGGGCTCAGTGTTCTTTGCTATTGTTACACCCACAAACACTTCAAGGCATTTCTCCCTTGCCTCCCCATAACTCCTCACCTGCATCTTTCTCTTCACAGTGTCAAAGGGAAAAGAGAGGGTCTGGGTTACCACAGCAGCCAGACAGACATTGGCAAAGTTCTGAAGGAGAGAGAACCGATTTCGGGGTCCATTCCAGATTTTCTCCAGGTTCATGTAAACTAGAAGGGAGCCAGCAGAGAATGGGAGAGCACCTGTAAAACAAGGGCAGGAAGAGGCTGCTGATGTCTTCAGAAAATACTGGCTTGAGGACATAAATGCCTGTGGGGAGTCTGGGGAAAGTAAACAGAAGGGGCTCTGGGCTTGTTGAAATCACTCCAACAGAAGGAGCATGAGGGAACTTTCCCCAGTGATGATAATGTGCTATATTTTGATAGGGGTGGTGTCATTTGTCAAAAGGTTTGTGCACTTTACTGTATGTAAATTGTACTTTAAAAAAAAATGAACAAATATTGAACCTTAGTTGATGATACACATGTTGAAGGGTTCAGGGGTTAAGTGTTCTGGTATTTGCAACTTACATTGAAATCATCAAAAAAAAAATGGACTGATTAATGGCTAGAGGGATGGATAGATATGTGACAAAGCAAAATGCTAATTGTAGCATTTAGATAGTGGGTATATGGCTGTTTACAATAACTTTTCTGGGTGTTTTAAATTTAAAAAAATAAAATGTTGGAAAAAAATCACTCCCATAAAAAAAAAAGTTATTGGGCAGCACCTAATCAAGTTTTGGAGTCTAGGAAGGACTAGCCTCTAGCTGAGAAGGAAACATTCTGTGAAAAATGAAAAGCAAGAGAGGTGACCTGAGCTCACCTTTGGTCATATCAAGGCCCAGTGGATGACCTACACTGTGTGGCATCTAAGATAGTGAGCAGGTAATGCAGTAGGTGGCTCTTTCACAAACTTCCAGACACTTTGGGAGCCATCTTCATTTTACAGAGGGGCTAAATTTCTCCCTCAAAATGAGATTTAAGAGAGGGGATAACACAAGTGGGGTTGCTGATCTTTTGAGAAATGTAATATTTATTTATTTTTTTTACAGATAACAAAAAATTATATTTTTGTTATCATAATTTTATATAATATAATAAATAATAATACAGTTGGCTCTCTGTATCTGTGGGTTCTGCATCAATGGATTCAAATAACCACTGATTAAAAAACAACAAAAATAACAATACAACAATAAAAAATAATGCAAATAAAAAATATAATATGACAACTATTTACATGGCATTTCCATTGTATTAGGTATTATAAGTAATCTAGAGATGATTTAAAGTATATGGGAGAATGTGCGTAGGTTATATGCAAATGCTGCACCATTTTATATCAGGGACTTGAGTATCCTTAAATTTTGGTATCCATGGGGGTCCTGGAACCAATCTCCCACAGATCCTGAGGGATGACTCTGCTTTATTAATGTGATAACTTGATTGATCATAAGATTTTTCTGGCTTTTCTTCAAATTCATTTATTAAATCATAAAAATTTATACTTTTAGCAACTTTTTAAAGTGACAATTAAAAGCAACATCAGTCACTCTTGGCAAATGAAAGATCGCAAATAATGTTTGGTATTTAATTTTGAGAAGGATCTTTCTGTTGATGCAACTGACACTGGAGCTGTTAAGAGTATGAAAACTATAATATTGACTTAATAAATCTATATTAAAAATGACTCACCAGCCCTCCATTTACTTTCATTCAGAAAATATTTGGGGAGCTTTTGCTATGTGCTGGGACCTATGCTAGGTACTGGGAATACTAATAGGAGAAGGCTAGTTCCTGGAGATGCTCACCATCTAGGAGAAGAGACAGCCAAGGAAAACTAATAATTACAACACCCCTGATATGTGCCATAATAGCGGCGCTATACAAAATGCTTTAGGTACAAGGATCAGAGGGATTAATTTTGCCTGGGGGAATTAGGAAGGACCTGACAGAAGAGGGAACTTCTGAACTGAGTCTTGAGAAATGAGAGGAGTTCAACAGACATTGAGAGCAGAAAGGCAGTCCAGGCAGGGGGAACAGCATGAACAAAAGAAGTGTTATTCCCAGGAAATGCAAGTTTTTCTGTATAGTTGGAGCATGAGCGCCGGTGGGGGCATGGCAGGAGAGGAGATAGGACGGACTGGCAGGCCAGCTCTGAAGGATGTGGAATGCCATAAAGAATTTTGGCCTTCTGCTGTAGCTCAGGAATCACCAAAGGTTTTTAAGGAGGGCAGTGAAATGAGGGTGATGAAACGATCAAATTGCCTTTAGAAAGATCACTTCAGCCTGGCAGCAGTTCACAAAGCAGACGGGGGCAAGAGAGACCCGAGACTGGAGCAGGTAGGAGCCTGAGTCTGCAGGAGAGTCTGAGAGTCTGAGAGTCTGAGTGGCGAGAGTCTGTGGGAAAGATGATAAGGGCATAAGCTAGGGCAGAAGAAGTGGGGATGAGGAGGGGACAGGCTTGATGGTTAAAAGAGGTCAAATTGACAGGACTTGGTGTCTGAAGCAGGAATGGAGTGAGAGGAGGAGTTGAAGTGATTCCTAGGTTTCTGCTGGCTTGGGCCACTGGGTGAATGGAAGGTGGTCTCATTCATTAGGGAACACAGGAAGAAGAGCACGTTTGAGACTAATGAGCACATTGGGGTTACTCCTGAGTTTGCACCTAGGGAACATCAAGGTGAAGGTGTCCAGTAGCAGGTACTCATACTGCCACTGGGAACTGTTGTAAGTCAGCAGCTAAGAGAGAGGGCTCTGGAGTTATATTGCTAGGTTCTTCCACTTTCTATCTATGTGACCTTGAGCAAGTCACTTAGCTCCCTAAGCATCTATTTCCTCATCTGTAAAATGAGGCTTAAATGAGAAACTGCATGCAAAGCATCTGGCACAGTACCTGGTACACAGTAAGCACCCCCCAAGTTAGCCATTGTTATTAAAGAGATTGAGATGGGGAGTCACAGAGTATGTTGATGCTTGTTCAAGCCACTGGCTTAGATGAGGCCACCTAGGGAGGGTATGGAGGGTGAGAAAAAGCTGAAGTGGAGGTAAAAAGAAAGCTGAGGATGAAGCTGGGGGGAGATCATTATGTAGGAGCTGTCAGTGTCAAATGACCCAGATGGGCCAGAAGAGACAGATAAGAAAGAGCTGCCAGAGCTTGGCAGGTTAGCTCAGTTGGTTTGAGCATGGTGTTATAACACCAAGGTCAAGGGTTCAGATCTCTGTACTGGCTAGCCACCAAAAAAAAAAAAAAAAAAAAAAAAAAAGAAAGAAAAGAGAGAGAGAGAGAGAGATGGGGTCTCAGAAGCCAAGTTTCCAGAAGAACGGGTGATCAATCTTATCAAATGCTGCCCAAATGGTCAAATAGAGGGCAAAATCTACTGGATATGGCAACTGGGGGTTCTTGGGGCCTGTATGTATGCAGCTCTGGCAAAGGTCACAAAGCCCACAGAAGAGACAGTTGCTACCCTCATTGTGCTCATAGGCATAAGTGTGTGCACTGAAGATCCCTTCCACAGTCAGAGGGCAGTGTTTAGGATTGCTTTCCTACCAGTTTGCACTGAGCCACCTCCACTCTCTGTCCTACTCTTCTCCCAGAAAGAGAGAAGAGTAGGCCAAAGTTTAGGAGTGGGGTTATATGTCTATGGAATAGAATGAAGCTAAGTGGCCCTATATGAACTGTATGAATCCATACAACCTTGAACTCAGAAAACCTGATTTAACTGATCCCAAAGGTATCCAGTACATTTGTATATTTCAAAGAACACAGCCTTTTCTTGACAAGGTGAAAAGTTCCATCTTACCTAAAACAGTGAGGGAAACCCCTCGATAAAGGGCCAGGAACCCTTCTTGCTGATAAATAGTAGAAAAAGCATGGAGGAGCCCCCTGTAAGATGGTTCCAGCATGTTCTGCACAATCAACCGGGTTTTGATGAGGTCTGTAGGATATGTCACAATGGTGGAAACCATGCCTGCGAGACTCCCAGCCATGATGGAACTCCACTGGGAAATATGACCCAGGTCATCTGTGAACAGCACAACAAACCTGGGAGAAAACAGGGAAAAAGCCCAAAGGAATCAGCTTTAGACTGTGCTAGAGTGCTGTATACTACCTCTCGAAATATTTTCCAGCATTGCAGTACTAAGATTAATGAATAATACATTTAAATTCTACTATCTTCATATAATGCTAGTTAGCTATAAGGACGAGATGCTCAACCTTCTTATTTATATCTACCCTAAGTCCTTTCCACTTCACTTTAAGCATTTCACCCTTTTATCTGCATAACTGGCGACCCTGGCTCGCCTGTGGGGTGTCCATGCACAGAAACTTGGGAAACACCAAACTGGAATGCACTTTTTTGTTGAAATTTAAAAAGGAATGAAATTTCTTGAAATGATGACTGAGCATCCCAGTGATTGCGTTTTAAAAATATATTGGTTTAATAATTACAAGAGAAGATGCTTTGCCTCACTAGTTATCAGAGAAATGACAAATAAAAACAATAGCAAGATATTATTTCTTGCCCAGCAGATTGGCAAAGATGAAAAAGTCTGACACAGTAGTCCCTCATTATCTGCAGTTTCGCTTTCCATGGTTTCAGTTACCTGTGGTCAACTGTGGTCCAAAAATATTAGATGGAAAATTCTAGAAATAAACATTTACATAACTTTTATTACAATATATTGTTATAATTGTTCTATTTTATTATTAGTTATTGTTATCTCTTCCTGTGCCTAATTTATAAATTAAGCTTTATTATAGGTGTGTATATATAGGAAACAACATAGTGTAATATATAGGGTTCAGTACTGAGGTTTGAGACATCCATTGGGGGTCCTGGAATGTATCTCCCAAGGATAAGGGGGACTACTATAATATCAAGTGATGGTGAGGGTGTGTGGAAACAGGAACTCTTACCCACTGCTGGGAGAAATGTAAATTGGTACAGCCACTTTGCACTAACTAGTAAAATTGGAAAAACATCTACCTTTACGCCAGCAATTCTATTTCTAGGTACATACGCTAGAGAAACTCTTGCATGTGTACGTACAAAGACATATATGGCATTGTAAGTGTGAAAACTCAAACAACCTAATGTCTATCGGTAGAGGAATGGATAAATTGTGGTACAGCAATACAATGTATACTACACAGTTAAAATAAATGAGCTTAGAACTATGTATGAACACGCATATATCATAAAAGCCTAATGGTGAATGAAGAAAGCAAGCTGCAGAGCGATCTATAGTGTACGATAACCATCTATATAACTTAGAGACATCCACAAAACAATACCTTTTATTATTCACAGATCGATACAGATACACAGAAGTGTAAAAGTAGACCTCTGAGACAGTGGAGAGAGGGCAGCACTGGGAATGAGAATGAAGAGGACTTCAGCTTTATCTGTAATGTTTTATTTCTTGTATTTAAAAAAAGATAATTGAAGTATCTTCTATACTAACTACCTCCTACACGGTCAAATTCTGGATGGTGGGTATATGAGTGTTTGTTAGAATATTCTCTGTATTTCTCTGTAGTTTTACAATTTTACCAAAAATGGCTTTGGGTAGACCTTTCCAGGTGCAAAATAGAAAGGCTCTGTTACAATCCCTCTTTTTGGAAGCAGGGCATCCCCAGTCACGAGGGCCTACTTCAGCAGAAATCGCTATAAGGGGACTTTTATAGGGCACACATATCTTGGCCAGGAAGCAAAGGAATTCTAGTCCTTCTTGCTGATGACGAAATCCAAAAGGGCTTGGAAACCAGGAAAAATAATATTTTCTGCCAGAGAGTGGAGGTAGGGAGAGAGAGAGGGACAGTGAGGAATAAAAAGTGAACACAGCTAGGCTAAAATAAAAGTATTTTGTCTTTTTATTTTATTTTCTTCTTTTTTTGGTGGATGTGACCCTGTAACCTTGGTGTTTATTTTTATAAAAATTGATGTTCAATTTATTTACGTCACAAATTTGAAACCCTAGTTTTTCCTAAAGTTTTAAAGTCCATAACCTAATACTCTTATTCTTTTTTTTTTAAATTGTGGTAAAACATATATAAGAATTTCCATCTTAAGCATTTTTTTTTTTTTTTTTTAAAGATGACTGGTAAGGGGATCTTAACCCTTGACTTGGTGTTGTCAGCACCACGCTCAGGCAGTGAGCGAACCGGCCATCCCTATATGGGATCCGAACCCGCGGCCTTGGTGTTATCAGCACCGCACTCTCCCGAGTGAGCCACAGGCCGGCCCCTTAAGCATTTTTAAACATACAATTGCATGGGGTTAACTACATTCACAATGCTGTATAACCACTACCTCTGTCTATTTCCAAAACTTTTTCGTCATCCTAAACATTGACTCTGTACTCATTAAGCAATATCCTCTCATTATCCCCCAACCCGTTTCTAGTAATCTCTAATCTACTTCAGTCTCTGAAAATTTTTTTTCTTAATTGACCCATGATTATCTTTTAAAAACTGACAGCATCCACAGTTCTTTGGCTTTCAAACCTCCAGTGAAGAGGTGTGTTCCTGGTTCCTTCTGTTGTCAGCAGGCCAAGGTCCTCTTCATGACAAATAATAGTGGCCATTCAGGTGAAACCATTTAAGGGGTTCTAGGATGGCTCTTTTGCTCCCAAGTAAACACTCATTGATTAAAAACATCCCCTCCAAGTTGTAGGAAAGTTTCATTTTTTCAGCCTACCTTAACTGCACCAACTGAAACAGTCATTTGAGTTACCAGCAACTTTTAAAGATGCAGGCAATTAAAGGTGGCCTTCGCCAATGGACCACTTGCCTCAGTTTTCCTGCACTTTTCCTTGTTCCTCCCTCCTCTCTCCCCTGGCCAGTCAAGTCGGAGGGGAACCTTGGGAGCGGCAGAGGAGACAGGGGAAGGGGAAATGCTTAACTGGAGGGGTGGAGGGGAGATGCAACAACCTAGAAGGTGGAGTTTGACATGCCAAAAGAGACACCGTTCATTCTCATTGCTCCACCCTTACTCCCCATCTCATTTGGCCACTTCTAGAGCATTGGTTAATTCATTACCCATTTACTGACCATTACAGTGTGCCGGACACTGTGCTAACACTCAGCGTAGATCATAAGAGAGTTCAACAGTCCTGACAAGGAAATGACTGACAGGGGCAACTGGAGAGGAAACAGGCCCTTGGTTCACTGAGTGACTTGATGAACTAGGAAGGGGAACACTAACTTATTATCAGTTTGTTTTATAAAGCAGGGTCTTACTATCAAATAGACAAAATTAAAAAGAACCAAAGGGAGTCCTTTTTTCTCAGACTCCTACCATCTGACAGAGACAAAGACCACCAATCATCCCTCTTAGAATCACAGGGTCAAGGCAGGCAACCTGATAGGCCACCAGTGACATCATTCTGGTCCCTACATCTTAAACTCTTGTCTGATTGGCTGGGGCACCAGTGTTCCCGTTTCTGCTCTTCCTCCCACCCACACACATATATTCACAGAAGCATTTTCCAGTGAGACTGGATAAGCTGGTAAATTGCAGTGACCCCTTCCTTTCAGCCAACACAGATATGACACACCCCAGATATATTTAATTAGAACTGCCAACACTTCAGCCTAACACAGGTTAGCAGCCAGTGCAGCCAAACACAAGTTCGCGAAGTGGTTATACCGTAAGAAATGGTGTTGGCAATGAACAATTTCAGAGCTGCAGGAACTCAAAACAATGTTGATACAGATAGACAAGCAGTTGTGAAGTAAAGTTAGGGGGGAGTGCATATCTTCTACTTGATCCATTTGAAAGCCATCCATTGTGTTAGGTATTATTTATTACAAGAAACTAGCTCACAATAGACTCTACTGAGTGGACTCTTTTGATTGTAAATCCAAGTAAGCAAACATTTCAGCTGTGCAGTGGGGGACAGAGCCCTGGACTGAGCCAGAAGATCTGGCTTCAAGTTTCAGCTTTGCCATTAATTGTTTGTGGACAAGTCGATTAACCACTCCAATCTCTGAACATTCTGTTTCTTTTTTTAATTTTTATTTTTTATCATTTCATGATGGGACCTCTCTGAGCATTCTGGATGTTTATGATTTGTTCAGACCCATGATCATGGGCTGTACCATTACCCTCAGCCAAGTGTTTTGCAATTTCACAGTCAGGAAAGAGTAAAAATGAACCAGAACGATGAATCAAGAGTGTCATCTTTATGGAAGGATGGCATTATGATTAATCAACCATTTTGCTTTCTGCCTTGCCATTCACCGAAATACTTCCTTTTAGTTTCCAGAAAGAAAATAATCCTGCAGGGAAAAAACTTATTAGCAAATCTAGCCCAGGTAACTATCTGTTCTTCCTCTCCCACACATCTCTTTTCTCCTCCCACTATCACCAGCCTATTTCAGGTGCCCTCAGCTGCCTCGTGGACTAGTGCAACAGGTTCCCAACTGGTCCTGTCCCTAGGCATCCTACCCCACCACCATGTGACAATCATTCCTATTGAATTGCTTTAATCACAGCACTCGCCCCCACCTCCCGCCCCTGCAAAAATCATCTCCACAGCTATCCTTACTTACCAAGGAAAGTCCAAACTCCTTAAACCTACCTGCCAAGATCTCATTCCATCCTGCTTTTCTGGACCTATTTCCAGTCATGCTGCATGCCTTCCCACCTCTGTGCTTTTGCTGACATTACCTGTGGTATCTCTGTCCCCATCTTTGTCCAGAAGACTCCTACTCATTCTCCCAATGCCGAACTCAAGTGTCTTTTGTCCTCTGTGAAGTCTTCACACCTTCCCCTCATCCCTCATTGGAAGTGTAAATTTCTTTTTCTTTTTTTTTTTCTTAAAAGATGACCGGTAAGGGGATCTTAACCCTTGACTTGGTGTTGTCAGCACCACGCTCACCCAGTGAGCGAACCGGCCATCCCTATATGGGATCCGAACCCATAGCCTTGGTGTTATCAGCACCACACTCTCCCGAGTGAGCCACAGGCCAGCCCCGGAAGTGTAAATTTCTTTTTCTTTTTTTTTTTCTTAAAAGATGACCGGTAAGGGGATCTTAACCCTTGACTTGGTGTTGTCAGCACCACGCTCACCCAGTGAGCGAACCGGCCATCCCTATATGGGATCCGAACCCATAGCCTTGGTGTTATCAGCACCACACTCTCCCGAGTGAGCCACAGGCCAGCCCCGGAAGTGTAAATTTCTATAGCATTTTCTCCATGGCAATCCCATGCTAATTTGTGTGTTATGGTTACAACACGCTAGTCTTATTCATCGATTATTCTTTAAGCTCCTGGGCCACAGGGACCATGCCCCTTTCATCCTTGCATTGTCCCCAGCATAATGCACACAGTGGGTACTTAATGTAGCCTAGCTAAATTAATGTCAAAGGAACGCAGAGAGCAAGGCAGCACGATGTCATAGAAACAGTGTGAGATTTGGAGTCAGAAGGCCAGGTGGTGGAGCTCAGCTTTGTCACTGATGAGTGGAGTAACCAGTCTAAGCCCAATTCTGTGCATTTGTAAAATGGGTATAATACTTCCTGCCTTCTGGACCTTGGAGGGCAGGAGGCAGGAGGCATAAAAAGCTGATGATGTTTATATATACCAGGTGGTTAGCAGAAAAGCAACCATACTTAAGCCAGCCTTTGAAGTTCTAAACCCCACCCCTTGGTACACATTCTATGCTATCCAAAGGAAGATTTCCACTCCACTCTGTGGAGAAAAGGGTGAAGTGGGCAGACACTGAGTCATTAAAACTTGGAGGAGAATTCTTTACAGACCGCGCAGCTCGGATGTTGCTGAGGGCAGGGAAGAGAGCCTTGGCAGAAATGCCAAATGATCCCACTCATGATTCCCTCCCCTGATGAAGAGAAGGGAACTCTACCCCCAGGCAGAGGCGAAATGAATGCTGGCCTAGAGGACTCAGTGATAAAGATGACTCCTTTTGGCTTGTCAGCTGCCAGGGGAACCTTCCAGCTCTGGCCTTCCAAGTGACAGTGTCAAGGCAAAATCCTTTTACTGGTAGCCGCCAAGTCTGAACTATATGGTTCAGACCGGCTCTCTCAACTGTGGGCTGTTTGTCCAATTTAGAGCCAAGGCCAGTCTTCAGAGTTGGCACTGTGCCCCCCGAATGAGGAACACAAGGACCATTCTCCCCAATACAGAAACAGCTCCTCTTCCTGAAATGCCATCCCTGCCATTTCATTCTTTTAGGCTTTGTTTCTAGCTCAAATGCAAATATATCTAAGCTCTGAGGAAGCATTAAGACTCATCCAACCTTTACATCTTGAGATCTTTTCCAAAGGAGCAGCTGCTGATGTGTGAGAAGGTGGAAAAAGCCCAAAGAATGAGGCCAGTGGGCAGCTAGGGGTGGGGTGAAGCAATAGGCTGCGGGGACTGTTTGCAGTTTGGGGAGAGGACGCTGCAGCCTCTGCTGGACCCTAAAGTCAGGCTTCATTTAGGTTGGGGGGAAGGGGTAGGTGGGCAGCAATCTGTGGCCATTTCATGGCAGTGGATCGGGCCCTTTCCCCCTGCCAAACTCTTTCTTCTTGGGGCTTTGGTCACACATACACACTTACGTACACACACCTTCAAACCGGGCCTCTCTCCTCCTAAGTCAGCCAAAGCAAAAATTTCCCAGTTGGTGGACGGCGGGAATGGTCAGGAGTCACCTCTCTGGAGGGAGATCTCTTCATTCCTTCCCCCCAAATCTCCTTTTGCTCCATTCCACCTCCATGCTCCGCCCCGTGCAACCCGGAAAGCCTCTCCGGGCCGGGACTGCGTGCCACAAAGCTGCATCTCGCAGGGCAGGGACCCCAAGAGAACGTGAAGAACCTTGGGACTGGGCTCTGAGGGTCGCAGATGTGGCCTGCGGGCCCCACTACGCCGAGGGGCTGCCACGTGACCGGAAGGGGCCGTGCCCACCACAGGACCCCGGCTCCCCGGCCCCCCGCGCCGGCCCGGCTCTTACTTGCGGTAGGCGGCGAGCTGCACGGCGCTGCAGGGGAAGAGGCGCAGGCACGCCACCGCGTTCCCCTTCCACAGGGCCCGGGGCCCCTCGGCCCGCC